GTATGACAGTAAAGTCATAATATTACGATAATAAAGTCATAGTATTACGAGAATAAAGTCGTACGACAATAAAGTCATAATATTACGAGAATAAAGTCATAGCATTATGAGAATAAAGTTGTATAAGAATAAAGTCGTAGTATTACAAGAATAAAGTTGTACGACAGTAAAGTCATAATATTACGAGAATAAATTCGTACCACAGTAAAGTCATAATATTATGAGAATAAAATCATAATATTACGAGAATAAAGTTGTATGACAAAAAAGTCATAGCATTACGAAAATAAAGTTGTACAAGAATAATGTCGTAAATTACAAAAATAAAATAGAAACAATACAAGAATACAGTTTTAGTATTATGAGAATAAACTTGTAGTATTACCAGAATAAAGTAATATTATTATCGGAACTCCGACACAAAAAAGCAGTCTCACATCTGAGGTAAAAGATGAATGTTGACATTGGCAGTACAACAGCAGAGGCCCAATGCACTGTGGCGTATGGATTCTTATGATAACCTGAAGCCGTATGATGTTGCAATTAAGGGCTGCATTGACGGATTTAGTTGTGACACAAATAGAGGCATAATTCACAAACAGCGACCCAAAAGTGATCACGGACTACATAAACACAGTGACTTGCGTTGGAGGCTGTCCACAGCAGGTGCGAGCCGACCCAGGACACATTACGAGTTCATTCTTGTAATATCACAGTGGTGGCACAGAGGTTAGAGAGGTGGGCCTGTGATCCGAAGATCGCCGGTTCACGCCCCGGCCCCGACAACATCAAAATTATGGGTGGGGTAGGTGAAACACTCACACTTGCCCCCACCCTCATTCGCCCCACTCTGGGCCCATGAGCAAGGCCCTTAACCCCCACCATGTGCTCCCTAAACAGGTCTCTCTTGAAAATGAGTTCTCGTGGCTCAATGAGACTAACCTGGATAAATAAAGGCTAAATGAAAAAAAAAAAAATTTCTCTTAATATTACAGGTTTATTCTCATAATTTTACAACATTTTTCTAGTAATGTATTTTTTTTTTCTTAGCTTGAAATAAGGTCATTTGGAAAACTTTTTCTTTTGCATTTTCACAATATCTTTTATTTATGAATATATTTAAGGAAGATTTTGACTGGAGCATAAAAAAGCAGAAATGCCACTAAGTGCAGTAATTGGAGAGATGTTAAACTGTCTGCTCATTACAGTGAATAATTCCAAAGGTCAGATTTGGAGGATGTGATGGCCTCTGGCAGCTCAAACTGCAAATTAAAATCTATTCAACTCTTACAACCTAACCCCAAATTACAGCGGACCCCTAAAAATACCCAGGGCATTTAATGGAGGCAGTGTTTGGTTTGTGCATTTTAGCTGCCCCCACAGAGAGGTGAGGAGACGTTGGCTATAAATGGTTCTGTATGAGGTAATAAAACAGCGACTTGCCTGAATAATACAGAGCAGCAGGTCAGAAACTTATTTTACCTTGGAAAGTGAGGACAGAGGAACCTGAGGGTGGGAGTGGGCTAGTATCCGCTCTGCTGCATCAGATATTTGAGAAATCCTTCCATCTTGTTTCCTGTGAGTCACAGAGAGGTGGGAACCAAAAAAGAAAGAAAGAGACATTACTCAAAAGTCTGAAGTGAAATTTCTTTTTTAAGCAATCGAAGTGTGAGGAAAAAAAAAACGTAACCCAGCGATTCTCACACTGTAGGTAAACTTAGGGTCATGACAAGAGCGTGTGGTCACATGTTTAATTTATTTTAATTTCCAGGGCTTAAAAATGTTGCAACTCAGACTAATTTTTGTGAGCTGCATGACTGGCAGTGCAAATAGTGGATCGACTCCTTACTGGTCAGTTGGAGCATGATCCAGATGGAAGCAATGAAGAGTGGAGAGGTTGGATTTTTTTGTTGGTGTTCACAAAAGAACAGTGAAGTACTCCATGTGCCACTTTAAATTAGTGAAAAACTGTCCAAGAGAAAACGGTGAAGGTGGGAAGACACCGCTCTTAATGCTTGATTTTCTGATTGTTGTTCCAAATCTTGATAACTGTGGGATGAAAGGCTCCTTTGAGGTGGGATATTTCTTGCTGCCATTTATTACAGTAAAAAGTGTCTAAATATTATTTGTTGAACTGGGTCAACTGAAAAGTTGAATTACAAAGAACAACCCCAAATCTGTCATATAGAATATTACAACTTGGATTGATGTGAGCTGGCTACTGGTAAAATGAGATGAGATAAGATAAGATGAGATGAGATGAAATAAGATAAGATAAGATAAGATACGATGATACAATGAGATGAGATAAGATAAGATAAGATAAGATAAGATAAGATAAGATAAAACTTTTTTGATCCCACAGGAAATTGTTGACAAAGCCAATCTGAGTCTCTTGTGCAAACTAAAGTTATTAACAAAGCCAAGCAGGGCAAACATCTTCTTACAAGTTGTTTTTACCATCTTACCATCACCTGTTACATCCTAAAGCAGAGGTTCAGTCGGGTCTAACTTAGTCAACTTCTGGCTTAAAATGATGGTCTGTGAAGAATGTCACAGCTCATCTCTGACCCAACTACTGGGTCAAAGTTCAAACCAACACCTTTAACCCAGCATGAGTTTTAGTTAACCCAGCAGGTTTAGTGTTTAGAAGGGTGTCCGTTTGTAACTTTTTTTTAAACTTGTTGAACTTGAATCACTTTTTTAAGGTTTACTGAGTTATGGTGGGGGCTGGGTGTTTCTGGAAATCTTGTTCCTATGAACAGGAGGGGTGAGGCATAGCGAGGAAGGTTGGAGGATCACTGCTGTAACCTAACTGCTCTCCAAAGTGGATCATCAAATTCTTACTATCGTGAAAATAAGGCACTTATTGCCCAACTGTATCTTGCTATTTAGAAATATTCCTGTAGGCTTTCTTTTTTGTGAATAGTTTTAAAATTTCTACTTGTAAGGAAGAAGATGAAAAGATGAATGCAATTAGAGTCAACTGTGAAACCAAAGTACTCAAAAACTGCAAAAATTAAAGGACAAAGTGTCGAAGTGAGGAAGAACTATTTGAAAAATTGAAGAAGAAAGGATTCTCAGCTTTCGTCTGCTGCCCTCACCACTTATTTCTCTTGTCAGCCCCCACTCCCACACCCTCCATGTGATTGGACTGAATTACCAGTTTGACCGGGATTCTGGTCACAGTATATTGCTTCACACTTTGTCTCACACATCAGTCAGTCACCCGAGCTGGCAGCTCATCTGCGCATGCATCCTGTTCACAAACCTTCAGCAGAGGGTGTTTCAAAACGCCGCTCAGGGACAAAAGAAACGCAGAACGTAAGAACAATCTGATTTCTTGGTGAGAATAGAGTGAGAATTGTTGGAGTGCACACTTATTTTTTTCTTTCTTATTTTGCCATGTTAGCAGGAATCAAGTTTAAAGTTAGCAAAGCTGAGAAAACATCCATCATAGAATGATCTTTCTTCATCAACACAGTCCATTATTAGATATTGAAGGTCTCCCCACAGCTGAGAATTTATAAGTCTTAGTAAACAGAACTGCACTCTTATGGCAACAGACGACTGACCTGCAGCGAGGTTAGGAAATCTATTACCAATTTAACCCTGATTTCTTGCTGGGAAGTGCTGTGGTCTCTCGGGTTGCAATTGAATCGAGCGCTGCAGCTTTTTGTGTCAATTAACGTCAAAACGGCAGGGTTACTCGAACACAAGTCTTTGCTCCCTGTGATCTCTGCCGAAAAAGACAAATCCTTCCTACAGCATCAACAGCTTCTCAGAGTAAACCTCACACACTTCGAAAGTGTGAACGCTGCTTTCAAATGCAGCTGGAACACGATGACAAAAAGTCAGATATGGCATTAAATTTATTGTAAAGACCTACCATACATGACTTCAAAGAAACACACTGCCAAAAGGCAAAGGCAGACAATAATGGCTTTTTCCATGTCAGCATGTCTCTCTGTTACCAAAATATCTCATTAACCACTATTTAAAAAATAAAAAAACTGTCAGAAAGTAATCAGGCGTACATCTTCAATAGATTACCAGTGAAAGTCAACCTAGTTCAAGATGACCGCCACAGCCAAAATACATTAAAATGCACAAAGACTGCTAAAACTCAGTCAATTTACAGAGGATGAGGTAAAGTTTGATGTTTATTTGAGCTTCAGTAAATAACTTTCTTTGTCATCAGCAGTAAAAGTGGTCAGCTGTCAAACAGACCTTCATCTTCCGTCTGCTGCATGAAATCCTGCTTGATTTGCACTTTGTTTCTCTGCCTTTCAGAATGGATCTGAGTTTACCCTTGTGGGTTGTTGTTGTTGGCTGTCTGCATGCTAAAGCAGCAGGTAGGTGACTTGAAGCTGTAAAATGTGTGTTTGTTTTTATTCTTTTAGTTTAGCAGACAACATGATTTTTGGAGGAAAGTCCTACATGGTCAGATTGAAAGATGTGATGGGAAAAAATAATCCTGTAGGAAAAGCTGTTGTTTTATTCAGCACACATGCAACAACATCTGCAAAATGACCAGCTGGATCTGTTTGGGAAGGAAGCTGCAGGAAGGATTTGAAGAGGGTGGTGAGAAGGGCAGAGAAGATCATCAAGACACCCCTCCCCTCCATCCAGGACAATGGTCTCAGACGCTGTCTGACCAGAGCCAATAAAATCAAAAGAGGCAACTCACACCCATAATATGGACTGCTTACTCTGCTGACATCTAGCAGGAGGTACCACATTCTGAGGACCAGAACCACTACGTTCTGCAACAGTTCCATCCCACGAGCTATTAGACTGCTGAACTCAGGTCATTAATGAAGTGACCACAAAAACACACACACAGCCACACACACACAGCCACAGACATACCTCAGGAAAAAAAAAAAAATATATATATATATATATATATATATATACAAAATAAGCAGTACTGGGATATGGTGATTCACTCATGCATGGATGCTGTGTGTATTGTGTATGTATGTATATATATACACATATATGTAAGTATCTGTGCATGCATGTGTACATGTATCATATGTCTTGGTGTTTCTAGGAATATGCACTCACACTTGTACATTCCTTGTTCAAGGTTCAATAGCACTTTACTGTAATGGTCAATTGCATCACATGTGGTACATGAGGTGGAACAAGGTCCCAGTTAAACCCAAAAAAGCAATATATAAAAACTGTAGTATAGTATAGTATAGTATAGTATAGTATAGTATAGTATAGTATAGTATATTATAGTATAGTATGGTATAGTATAGTATAGTATAGTATAGTACAATTAAAACAAAACCGCTCAGTGGCCGGACATCCAGCGATTAAAGTCATTATGTAAATAAACCAAGTTTTACAATAACCTTTTAAATTTGTTTGTTTTATTGCATTGAATCATAAATGTAATAAACAGAACCCCAAATCCAAACCGAGGACCCCCACCCCACGAAAAAAATATAAAAATTAATGAACTCATTGGTGGGCCGGACTGAAGTCACACGCGGGCTGGAAGTGGCCTAGGGGCCACCAGTTGAATAGCCCTGGTATAGTAGTTATTGTATCTGCACCAAAACGGCATCTTCTATAAAATTTGTACAAGTTATGTTTTCCTACACTGATGTGGAGAAATTTAACAAAATTACTTTCAGTTTTGCACAGTGCACTGTTCATTTTTGAATGACAATAAAGTTTATAAAGTAAACAACAAAGTCGTTGGTTACGTACTGTAACCCCAGATTCTATGAGTATAGGCTTCGCCCTTTAAGGCTATCGCTAGTGGGTTTATCCCTTTGCGCACAGCGCAGCACTGAAAACTTTAGTCCACGCCCACCTGCTGTGTGGGTCTCACCTCCGGTCCGTATAAATTACGGCGAGACCGGGTAATTGGCTCCCAAATAGCTTTTTTCTTCAGCCATTTAGGAACCAGTGAGGCCCAGAGCTTAAAAGGCTGCGCCTATACTCATAGAATCTGGGGTTACAGTACGTAACCAACGTTCTATTTCGGATAGGCTTCGCCCTTTAAGGCTATCGCTAGTGGGTTAAAAGTGACGCAGGATGTAGTCTATGCCTCACTGGGTCCATTCAGACACAATATGAAGCGCCCGATTGTACCAAAACACATTGCATCACTCATCCTTCTGTGTGCGTAATTACATGCTGCATAATTACGCATTCCATGCACATAAGAGCCCTGGAGAGAAAAGGTCTCCAATGGGGAAAAAGAGATGGCTGAAATGCAGTCCTGCTGCTGAGAATGGAAAAAAACTGAGGTTACGAATTGTAACCATGTAACAAAGAACAGAGCAGGTCAACAGATAGAGCTTTGGCTCTCAGCTGTGATAAACGGGCTCTCCTTGTGGTTGAGTTTAGCTCCACTTCCAGATAAACAATCATCTGGGATGGACGAACTGAACTTTTTCCCATTTTATAGAAAAACCCAGGTTTAGCAGGTGTAACACTAGCGTTTTGGTCTGTGCGACTGCTTCCAATCTGGACCGAGCTAATAAGAGCAGATCATCCAGATAAAAAGAATTCACATTCCTGCCATGTGTAACGACTGCAGAGCCGTCT